AACAAATGAAAGAATGGTGGTTAGTTGAAAAGTGTTTGGAAGAAGAAGAAGAAACAACAGAAAAATATTATAGCATGTCTCTATGTAGAGATATAATAAAAGATATGCATGTCTCTCTGTAGAGATATAATAAAATATATTCATGTCTCTCTGTGGATCTGTGGAGATATAATAAAAGATATTCATATCTCTCTGTAGAGATATAATAAAAGATATTGACATCTCTCTGTAGAGATATAATAAAAGATATTCATGTCTCTCTGTGGATATATAATAAAAGATATTCATGTCTCTCTGTGGAGATATAATAAAATATATTAATGTCTCTCTGTAGAGATATAATGAAAGATATTCATTAAGATATATCTACTAATTATTGTTTTACGTGTCAGTTAATGTACAAAGTTCATTTTGTACTCATTGTCCAAAGATATATATACATATTTCCAGATATGTTTGTTTACTTGTGTTACTTGAAAATTTAGCTACATCGTAAACAAGTAGGACTTAGCATAGCAACTCGAAATAAGGGAAGTTTTTACCTTCTTGAAAAATAGAGATTTCTAGTGTTTTCGATGGTAGTCTTGACTTCGATTCAACAGGTTAAGTAACGTCTCAATACAACAATAGAAATGCTAGAACTTTATTTATCTACTTTTTATGAGTTTTTACTGATGTTCTCTACTTTTTTTGCTTTTAAATGCGCCAATTTACAAATCACATTTCGTCTTTACTTGTCGCATAAGCAAGGCTTAACGCTATGTTGCATGCCATGGGCATCGTTGGAAATCGTGTATTCCAGATAACAGATTAACCATTTAACAAATCACCTTTTTGTTCTTAGGATTGCTCCTGACAACACGTACACTTCAGTCGACTGCCAACTATGTTACTTCCACTAAATGTCGCATTAAGGTGCATTAAGGTTATTCCCCTACAGATTCTGTTACATTTAGCTACCACCGTAGGTTGTCAGTAACAGAAAACCTTAATTATGTAAGGGATTCTTGCGATACTTTATTAGCTCACTATAATGTGAATCAAACCAAAAACCAATAGTTTCTAAATGAACCTATAGATGATCGTAATTATATAAATCTGCATACAGATGTGACATGTGAAGGCAGCAAGCTTGTTTCTTACTAGTATCTTAAATCAACAATGCTATTTCAACCATAACTTATATTTATTGATTAACAATTAAACAATGCTATTTCAACCATAACTTATATTTATTGATTAACAATTAAACAATGCTATTTCAACCATAACTTATATTTATTGATTAACAATTAAACAATGCTATTTCAACCATAACTTATATTTATTGATTAACAATTAAACAACGCTATTTCAACCACAACGTATATTTATTGATTAACAATATTTCCGTTACTGCTGCCGTTTTTCATGTGTTAACGAAATACTCTCGCAACAGAAAATATTTCTGTCAGATTTCTTTGCTGAAACTTTTGCTAACAGTCAAGATTCCTACTATACAATAATCAGAAAATAATGATTTTTAAGTTATCATTAATAATGTTTCTCAATATATTCATTAACTTACACAAGTCGCTTAGCGCTTGATGAAAGTGTGTCTATTTAGATGATCCCTGAAAATGGGGTTGCAGTATACATAAGAATTCCAATCTCCGGTTGAGAATGTACCAGTTCAAAAATGTAATGGTCAATTCCCCTGTGGACTTACAAAACCAAAAATTATGGGTTCGATTCTCTGTGGTGGACACGACAGATAGTCCAATGTAAGGTTTAACCTACTCCTGTAATTTCAATAGCCTAGAACTATTGTTGTAAACTCAGATTTAATAACCCCTGTAAAACTGTCTTATCCACCAAAATACGCAGTACTGTCAGAACATGTGGAAGTAGGGGCAATAAAATAAAATGTATTTGATTCCACTGGGGTTTGAAATCGCAAACCGACGTAGTAGCGTATTGGGGTTTGAAATCGCAAACCGACGTAGTAGCGTAACTAAAACATACAATGACAATTAAATCTAGAAATACTTTTGTATTTGATTCCAGCGATAATTTGAAGATCTGCGAAACTTAACTAACTCTACAATAACATACAAGATTAATTTAAATATAGATTAGAAACGACGATAAACCTTTATAATCACAGAATATGTAAAACGACAACACAACATTTTTCCTTATACTTTGAGCGAGAATCAATTAATTACGGTAAACCAACACAATGTCATCACGTTCGATATGGAATATTGAAAATTAATAACTGTACATGAGGAGTATGATGCACAGTTACGATGGAGTTTAATATATAATATATATATATATATAT